GGCTCCGGTATTATAAACTGCGTGATCAACGTATGGATCATCGAGATGTGGCTACAAAAAAGTGCACCCATACTTCAAATCCCGGGACTAACATTTGGTTTGGGAACAATACTATCGCCACTTTTATTAAAGCCATTTCTACGGGACAAATACGATGGACCCCACGTGACCACCATTGCCACCACCACCGGTGTCGTACCGGTAGTAGTGTCGACACCTGACGACAGTTCAATCACTTATGCCTACAATGAATCGTACGAAGAGGACAGACGGTCACACTTAAAGACGCCGTTTCTCATACTGGGTGTCATTCAAATTGTTTGTAAGTTTAAACATGTTACATTTATATAATTATATAAATTAATATTAATCTTATCTATTTTGATAGTTCCCATTTTATTGACCTTAATGTTTGTGTTTAAACGATACCGTAATAAAAGCGACTCAACTCAACCCGCGAACACACCAATGGTCGATGAAAAGGGTGACCAACAAGCCAAGGATGTTATCAATGAAAACAATCTAGATGGTCCACAATGGAGACTGTTCGACAGGTACCCTAAATACCGATGGCCCGCCTTGCTACTATTTGGCACGTTGGTGGGCGCGTTCAATCTGGTAGAGTCCTCGTACTATACGTTCGCCTCGACGTACTTTCAGTACTGCCCGTTGGGTATCAGTCCGAAAAAGGCCACCGATGTTATCACGGCGTTCACCGCCCCCTACACTGTGTTCAGAGGGCTGAGTATTTTTATCGCCATCAAACTGTCACCCAAATTGATGCTTATCATACACTTTGCCATTTGTATTATAGGTACGTACATACTCAATATGGAATAAATAGGGTAGTTAATTTATTGTTTATAATTGGTTGCTACATTAATTAGAATAATTTTAAAGTAAAATTCCTTAAATACCTACAAATTTAAGTGCAAAATTATCTAGCAAAAAATATAACATTTATTATTTATTAAAATTATAAAATATTTTATTAGAATTATAAGTAATTTGTATTTTCATATTTAAGGATTAATATGCCTGGTGTTTGGCCGCAGTAATATGACCATGTTATGGGTGGCCAACGTATTCATGGGCGTCGGTATATCGGCTATAATGCAGTCCATATTCGCTTTCGTGGGCGCAAATGTGCGCATGACTGATATGGTGGGCACTTTGATGACTGTATTCATGTCATCGTTCAATATACTGCCCCCGTATCTCATCGGGCTATATATGAAACAATACTCCGATATGTTTATATTGTTTGAGGCCCTTATGCTGGCCGTCAGTATTACCGTATTTTTATTACTCGTATTTATTATATGGAGAACAGAGAAAATGAAACAAAAATTGTGTAATAATTATGATAAATGTGTAACTAATCTAGATTAAGTCGTTTATATAATAATTTTTACAAATTTGATTACATAATAAAATTATTTATTTGTAAATAGAACGAAGTTTTTAATAATAATAATTAAACCAGGGTGGTTTGAAATAATTTAAAATAATAAATAACTTTTTCAGTTCTGTTGAGAAACACAAATTATTTAAATGTAATTTTTTAAACAAAGTAATCTGTAAATTAAAGCGGCATCTATATTTAAAGTTTGATACTATTAATAATTAAAATTAATCTATCAATGTAAAACAATTAATATTATAAAGTTAGTTACTGCCATATAATCAATTTACTAAAACATATTTTAAATTATAGTTTTATGCCCTTTAGTATAGAAAATTAACCCTTTTTAAAGTAAGACTAATATAAACTTACACAATCAAAAATCTGTCTGGCTTTATAAATTTTATGTTCAGTCTAAACTGTTTTAGATTGTAAAAAGTTTTACCATGAAAATATACCAATTCTATTTACTCGCGTGTTTTCTAATAATCTACTCTAAATGTTTCTTTATTGACCATGGCGAATTCGATGATGGCATTAATGAATTAGACTATCTAGATCAAAATTTACAATTGGAAAGACAAAACAACAATATTGATTTAAATATTAGCAACGGTGGCAATGGGGCACCGGGTGGTAGTGGTGCACCAGCAGTAAATGGCACGGCTGGCAGTGGGGGTATAGGTGGCAGTGCCGGCAATGGAACCAAATCCAATGTAAACGTTCATATTGGCTAAATTATATTGTAATTTTACTAAAGTGCATAATGTTTGATATGTATTTAAAACGCTTAATTATGTACTGAATAAATCATTATAAATTTAATCTAAACAAATTATTAAACATAGTTATTCTATTAAATAAGTGTTTTTAAATTTATATACGTAATTTTAAAATAAAATGATATTAAATCAACGAGTTTATGAATCCTAGTTATTTAATTAAAATTCATATCTTAAAACTTTAACAAAAAACTTTTAAGTAAATAAAACATGTGTTCATTAGTAATTAACCGTTTTGAAGGTAAATAACCCGTTTTTGAAAATATATTTTAATTTGAATTCATTAAACAAATTATAACACAACAGATGTAGCATCTGTAGATACATTGTATAAATTTAATGATTCTGGTTAAAGTAAATTAGACAAAATTTAAATACTGCATATCCAAATATTAAATTACTTTAGTTAAATGAATATTGTAAATTCACAATATGCAACAAATATATATTTATTTTATAAGTTAAAATTTGAATTACATTAATTTAGAGAAACTACAATTTAGCAAGAATAATAAACTAAGCAATTTACTAAAAAATCTTTGCTGGTGATGACCGGAAGCCACCGGCAAAGGTTAGACAGATACAGGTCTGCCAGTGACGGGTCGGTCAGATACAGGTCTGTCAGTGACGGGTCGGTCAGATACAGGTCTGTCAGTGACGGGTCGGTCAGATACAGGTCTGCCAGTGACGGGTCGGTCAGATACAGGTCTGCCAGTGACGGGTCGGTCAGATACAGGTCTGCCA